CGCTCCGCACCCTGCGATCAATAAACTCGCCGAGAGGGAGCAGCCCCGTGACGAGCCGTTCAACTCCGCCACATTTTGCCTCCCTCCTCTCCTCTGCGTCTCTTCATCCCCTCTCGCGATTACTTCTTCCCCGCTTTCGCCTTGCCCCGTTGACGACTCACCCGCTGTTCTATGTTCTTCAACCGTAACCCTTGCTATCAGCGATTCAGCACGTGCACCTTCACTCCGTTCCGCAACGAGATAGCGCTTTCGCGTTCTGCGGATTATCGCGAATTAACGGATGCCAAAGAGACTCCATGCTTTTCAGAATTTTTCGCGCTACTTTAATCGCCTATTCTTCCTACGGGTTGTTGTTAGAAGAATAGGGATTGTAGGAAATATTTCTCAGTTTATCGGGCGAAACGCTTTTCTTTTAAAATTTACGGACAATTACATACAGGGTATTCGGTGTTGATGATAATCGATTATTTCTTGTGATCGAGAAGTATAAGTTTATTTCTGATCATCAAGTTCTGTAAATGTTTGCTACTAAGAATTAAACTATTAGGATCCTTTTAATATGAATGCGTCTTAATATTGATTTTATAATTTTGATTCTAAGTGCATATATTCATTTATTGTAAATAATACAGCATAATATATAATCGAATGTGCTAGTACAATAAATAAAATAATTTAGAATGTTAGAAATGTGTGTATATAAATTAAATCTGTAAATTCTTGTATTTCAAATAATAATGCAAAAAATTGCATAAAGTTAACAGAAAAGTAACTGAAAAGCGACTTGTTACTTTTTAACTGTAACTATAACTATATAGTTACTTTTATGGAGTAACTTTTTCTCTCTATCCTGCTATTTTTGTTAGAAAATAGCTATTTAATTTTAGCTTCTCCAATGGTTATCCTATACATGAAATTTACAAATTTAATAATTATTTATAAATTAAAATTTCTCACAGAACTGTTACGTAAAAATAACTACATTTAATGTAACAATTTTATTTCCATGCTAGCGTATGCCAGACCAATATTTTCAATCTTAATTCTAAATCCTTTAATAATCACTTAATCAGATTAATGTATCAGATATGTTTATTATTATGACCGACTAATCGAGGTTCACTCTTGTTGCCTAATCTAATCAAGTTTTACTAGCAGAGAACGATTAATTTCATTTGCCTATTACGCAATTTGTTTAATGCATGCTAAATTGCCACACATGTTGAAAGTGATTGTGCTTTCAACAGTTACTGATCAACTGGCCTTGAACTAACAAGCAAGAATTTTTCGTGTTTATCTGTCAAGTCTTCCACTTACGATGAAATAGTTAAATGTGTCTAAAAATAAATTTTCTTATTTTAATTATTATTGGAATGTTATCGAGGCAGACCATCGGCGATGATCTTACTATCAGTGTGTGTATACCGCATATCGTTCATTCAGTGTATTTTATGTGAAATCAGGTGAAAATCAGTGTACTCGGAAGAGTCACAATAAGGATGTGGCGAGATCCTCCAGGCGGAGGGTATAAGAAACCCATCCACGTTGCCGCTATGTTACTGCTAGCTGTTATCCTGGCATTGACAACGGGTGAGTCAACTTCATACGAAAAGATCTCATTCACTTCGCGTTTCTCAGCATGACTCGATGATAATTACTGAGAAGCATTGACGCATGAGGGTCAGGCAATGTGCGTGAAAAATCGAAAAAATGTTTACATATGTAAGAAGGACAAGCCACGACTTTTGTATGTTAAACAGAAGCTCTAAGATGCTTGCTGAAAGCGAGTAAAGTCGCTCCGTGTGAATTGCCTTTGACGTAATTATAATATAATAATAATAAAGATAAATTTTTTTAAGTTAGTAACAATAACGATTGGACATCAAAACGATATTCTTAATGTATGATGTATTAGAAATAAGAATTACACTCAAAAATTAATTGAAAGCTTGAGAACAAACTGAATTTTCATTAAAAGCTAAAATTTTTGTTTATCTTAAAGCTGCGCGGTTTGTAAGAATTTTGTTATAGCAAATTCTATATTGCAACGTGATTCCTGATATTTTTAGAATTATTTGTAATATCTCTTCCATAAATTACGAAACTGATATACATTTGAATACGCTATTGTGATTTTATAAAATATACATCTTAGCTTATCAAATTGCGAAGTTCATCAGCTGACACGTTCTGTTCGCATTCTATTCTTCATAATACACGTGCTTTAAATATGATACTTAACGGACACTAAATATCCTTGAATATTCTCACCGATTCATTAATATATTGAGACGAAATTAGCATGAAGCTTAATCTAATCAATTCCTAGCAGGAATAAAATTGCAAAAATTAAGGAAATTGATTTTCTCATTTATGTTAGTCTATAATTACGTATATACAAATTTAAATCTGATATAATAAAATATAGAAGTATAAGGTATTTCTATAAATAGAAATTGTTACTCTATAATTATTATATAGGATTTTTTAATATAGTATAAAGGCTAACACAACTGAAAGATTGACATCGCATTTCATTAATAATTTAAAGTTACCGCGCGATTTTCAAGTATCTATAAATCACTAAAATGAAACGATTTCAGTTCCATTCGTTGTGTTCGTTATAACGGTCCATGCTGCTGCCTCTTTTTTGACATAATTTCGTGTCCGCGTTTCGAACTGATGAACAGACGGTTAGTTGGGATCGTGAAAGGTTCCGAGGTATAAATTCGAGCGGGTCTCGAAGTGCAGCTGTCGGAGGAGAGATTAAGATGAAGGGGACGAAGAGATCGGGAGGGAAAGGAACAGCTGCTGTTCCCAGAATGCAGGCTCACATCATACTCCAAGAAGAATTGCATTCGTGAATGCTCGCCACCAGGTGAATCCGCCTATTATGTATGCGGAATCTGTTGTTACTGTTCATCTGTTGATGAAAAGTGAGCATAAAATTGGAGTATTTACAATGCTTCTAATTGAGCTTTAAGTTTTGAATGATAATTAATTAAAAAGAGATATGTATATTTCATTGATGGTCATAACAAAGAATAAAGTTCATAATGACTCAGTTTTATTGAAAATTTGTGAAATCGGACGTATATAAGACATTCTGAATGTCAATACATGTCAATTGTGAGGCAAACGATGCTAATTATTAACTTGTCGATATTATAAATACCAAATACGTAAACGACAGAAATTATATTACATGTTTGTAATATAATATCCTAATTTAAGTTTGTAATATAATCCTAATTTCACAATATTTTGTTGAATTTAAATCGCATTGAAAGTAATATTGTGTGTGAAGTTGATCGTACTGTCCGCACTTTGAATTTGAGGAAGTGAGACTTAAAAAAACATATTTTGGTATCTCACAGGAAGTAACAGAAATAGACGTACTTATAGAAGCCGTATATGTGTAATCTGAAAGAACAAGAGGTTTAAGAATTTCTTCAGACTTCCTCCACCTACGCATAAAAGTTATATGTCCACCCTCGCGCACTAATGTGCGTTAATAAAATATAATTTTAATAACAATTTTAGAGATTCTGATTATTAATTCTGGGATTTCCTGAGAAACAACTAAAAAAATATTGCAGAATTAATGAGATTAATATATATAAGAATTAAGTTAAATTATTTTATTATTTCTTTAAAATAATTATTCCTTTAAATTATTATTAAATTTAAATTTAAATTAAATTAAAATTTAAATGAAAGTTATATGATTCTTTTACTTAATTAAATAATAATTAAACAATAAAAAACTAGTATCTTGAAAAAACGTAGCAGTTTTAAAATAAAAATATTGCACGTCACACAGCATAGGCGTTTATTAAATTTTAATTTTTGATTAATGGAAACTCGAAATAAAAATTCTATCGAAAGATTATTTAGTCGGTTCGTTTTTTCGACACCTTCATCAACTTATGATTTCGACTGATTTGACATTTCTCTTTATTATGCATGTCACAGAATTTTACGCTTACATACACACAAACGTGCGAGCAGATGAATACACACGTGAGTCACACGTGTGGCGATACGCGTGCGCGTGTGTGCACGCTGGAAATATATTCGATGCAGCATGTCCGGACGTTTCGAAGCTATCGCTATATATAGATTACAGAGCGGGTCTCGACCGGGAAGAATCTTGTCTTTCATCGATGCGTAAGAATTTAACTTCAGAAAAAAAGTTTTACATACCACTTCTGCGATCGATATCTGCTCATGCAACTGGCAACGTACCCCATCCGCTACGTTGTACAGCCGCAACAGTACCCTAAGCCATTGTTGCACCGTGCACGTGCACGTGCCGCACAGAGAACGTATAAATAATGTAACCCTTGGACGTAAATGCACAATCACCATTGAAATTGCCGTACGCACCTAGTTAATCATTGTAATGCCCTTACGTTGGTATAATCCTTTTAACTCTTTCGGTAACCTAACGCCATTGTAACTGTCAACATGCGGAGATTTAAGAAGGGATTAAAAGAAGGGATAAAAGATGTGGGAAAAGAAGAAAGAGGATATCTGCGATGAAGCTTACAGGAAAGAAATACGGAAAGAATAATTTCGCTGAAATATTTAAAAATTTAGCTAGATACAGATCTGAATAATTTTATTGAATCATTAAAATAATTCTCCCTTTATATTTTCGACTTCTGCTCCGATTTTTATTTTTACCAAGATCAAGCATAATGAACAATGCTGCAAAAAATTTTGATATTCCAGCAATAAGCTTGAACATTCTATATAACTATTTTGATGGTCCAACAAAATTATTTCTAAATCTGTATCTAGCTAAGTTTTCGAATACTTTAGCGAAACCATTTCTTTGTGAAGAAAAGAAAAAAAATGTAAGTTATAACTCGCCGTATTCACGAAAAGAGTAAAAAGGACATTTCTTATTATCTGCTTCAATTTAATGCAATTTACTTGAGAAATTTTGCTATCGTCAGCACGCGAGTGAAATGAATCTGGTAATCTGGAGGACAAGAATAGGCGACATAAAACTGTAGTTATGAGCCGAGGTCCGCCTATAGCAAAAGGCGCGTATCCACGACAAAAATTCGGAACACCTGTCCTTTATACCTATATATGTATCCTGCCTGCTTACTTCAACGGCACACGCTTCGCCAACCGGTTCTTCGTAACTTGATTTTATACTATGCCGCGGGTTTATATACGCTCTCTCTTCGTCGCGATCTCTGTCGCGGTGAATCAGTAGTAGGTGGCTACGTGCGCGAAAATTGTTGCAGTACGATATATTCCTACATAAACTTTAGGCACCTCTTGCAGAAAAGAATGACTAGCTAAACATTTGTATTTTCAGTAGTAAACAAAAAATTACAATTTCACAAAAAAATAAATAAATATAGAATAATAGATCTTTTCTACACTGAAAAAAAAGATTGGCTGCTGCAGCAAATTAGATGGTAAAATATGGCATAGCATTTTTAATTGGTTGCAGCAGTCAATTTTTGGTTGTGTTAGTCTATCGAAATCTTATACCTTGCAGATAGGCTAATGCAAAAATTGGCTGCTGCAGCCAATTAAAAATGCTATGCCATATTTTACCATCTAATTTGCTGCAGCAGCCAATCTTTTTTTTTCAGTGTAGAAAATTTCTTTATAAATTTATGTTAATATAAATTATAATTGAAAGATATCTTTATACAAGATAGACCTTCAATGGACGTCCTCCAAAGACGTTTCCAGAATGTCATTGAGATAAAGTGTGAGGTTCTTCATAAAAACCAAACAAACCCAAAAAGTTAAATTTTCAGGAGAGAGAAACGAAGAATTTATGATCTTCAAAAATTGTTTATTGTATAAATATAATTTTTCTTCGGACATATAATAGGTAAATAAATAAGAACAAAGTTTTAAGCTTTGACTAATATTTTGAAGATCCGTTTAAAAAAATACAAAAAACTTCTGAACTTATTGTTTAGTTTTTTTAGAAATTTTATATTTACTACCTATTTATCTCAGGATATTGGGTAAGAACAGAAGTTTGTAATACTACGAACTTTAAAATTTAAGTGGCTGTAATTTCGTTAAAAATAGCTCGATAAAATAGGGAGAAAGAGAGAAAGAGAATTTTCATTTCACTTCGAGGGTCTATTTGTAGTACCTAAAATAACTTAAGAGAATTGTCGACTTTCTAACATTGAAAGCTTAAAGTTTTTCCTACAAAATCGTTTTTTTTTTTAATGTTCCAATGATTTTATTCTTACTGAGTTATCACAGATTATAAAGGAGTATTTTAACTTTGATTGCTTACGACTCCATTAAAAATCATCGTACCGCAATTAAAAAAACGAATTCTTAAAACTAAAATTTTATTCTATCGAATGGTATAATTGCCAAACTTTAAAGTAAATGTAATTAATTCACTTTTTATTTACAAAATTTATTTATAAATTGCTCTTAACAAAACATCTTTTGTAAATGTTAAATTCTTATATTTTCCGTTTTTTATTTGATTCTTGCTTGAATAAAATCGTTCACGATATGATGCTACTAGATAATGATTTGGCGCTATAATCCAGATTAAAAAGTGGATTTAATTGGTATTTGTTACACTGAAAAAAAAGATTGGCTGCTGCAGCAAATTAGATGGTAAAATATGGCATAGCATTTTTAATTGGTTGTATCAGTCAATTTTTGGTTGTATTAGCCTATCTGCAAGGTATAGGATTTCGATAGACTAACACAACCAAAAATTGACTGCTGCAACCAATTAAAAATGCTATGCCATATTTTACCATCTAATTTGCTGCAGCAGCCAATCTTTTTTTCAGTGTAGAAACCTTTCATTTATGTACACAATCGCTTGTAGATACATAATGACTACATTCAGTAGAGAAAACTAATCAGTTAGAGCTTAGTGACTCTTTAATATGATTGGTTCTTGCCTTTAGTTCTTCACTGGATCTAAGTGTAGGAACCAATTATATTGAAGAATCACTAAGCGCTAACTGATTAGTTTTCTCTGCTGAACGCAGCCATTGTATCGAAAAAGAATTGTACGGAAACTGTTTGTGATTCTTTTGTTTCTTATGAAGTATGGAACGTGCAACTCATGTATTTGCAATAAATTTACAGTCAATGGCACTTAAGTTGCTATATCGATGGCTATAATTTGTTGCTACCGATGATACCGCCACAGCCGAAGAGCGCAACTCGTCACGACGGAAAAGGAATCACGCATTGTCGTCTCCCTTATGGTCACGTAACGTTGATCGCATATTATTCAATAACAGACTTGACAACCTGTTGTTTGCTGCAATTGGCAACGCGCCAATTGAATGTGGGTGTCGCATATCCTGGTTGAAACGAATGATAAGCGAAACCCGAAGACACGAGACAAAACGTCTCGTCGCTCGTGACACTTTAAATTAATTGGCTTCGTGCTAATGTTCCCATAAGCTATTAAGCGTCCCTTACATTTCGTTTTGTCCATGAAACATTTCTTTTTCGCAATGAAAACTCTGTTGCAGTTTTCTTTGTATTAAATTATTATGCTTACAAAGAAATCGCTTTAATCCTTACAAAGAAGTCGTGACTTGTCGCTTACAATTTCAAAAAATTATTCTTGAAAAATTAGTCATTCGTCTTGAAAAGATACATTTTAACCCTTACTAAACATGATAGTTTTTGGTAACTTTGTATACGATGGGTCTATCGTGAATTAATTTTTGTCACTTTTTACAAGTATATATAAATTATTGAATAAATTTTTACATATACTTTGAGACATCTTTAGAAAATACGTGAAACAGTAAAGTTGCATATTTATAAAAAATTGTATATAAATGTTATAACTAATTATAAGCAAAATGAAAATACACTTTTTCATATAAAAATGCAAAACACTGAAACAAAAATGTTTAAAGAAAAAATATGTTTCAATATCTTAAAGTTATCATTTCAATCTACAAAAGGAAAAACACTTTAAATATCGGCTGTCTAAAAAATTTAGTTATTGAGTAACTCAAAAATGACTTTTTACATTGCCTAAATGGATATAAATTAAACGTTTATTGCATTTATATATATATATATATTTTAAATAATGCATTTTATCATTGATATTGTACAAGATATTGTATTACAAAAAGTTACAACTAATTAGAAAAAAAATTTTTGTTTAAATATTTTTATTTAAATATTTTTTAATTCAATATTTATTATATTTTTTAAATATTATTTGTAATATTTAACAAAAATTATTTCATTTCCAATTTTTTTTAATAGTTCGTGAAATTTTTGCAATGTAAATGAGAATTAAGAAGAAAACAAAGTTTTTAGCTGCAAAAAAGTTATCTACTACACTTGATGGGTCTTTCGTGTCCTAAGGTGAATTTCCGAAATGTTCTGGTTGGAGGGTACACAGGAATGGGAGTTGACAACACACAAAATTTGTTCGCTGGATACCAAAACTTTTTTTAAGAAAAGAGTATAGATCATTATTTAGCTGTTTCTAATATTTCAAAGAAAAGAAGTGAGAACATGAACGATCCAAATTGCATATTTTCGAAATAAGTTAAATAATATAAGCGCTTGTGTGCACGATCATAAAAACTTTTGCATTCTGCTTGCAGTTATCTCTGCCGAAGATGCATCTATGGGACCGGTGTTTGTCAAGGAACCTCCAAACCGAATTGATTTCTCAAATGGAACTGGAGCCGTTGTCGAATGTCAGGCAAGAGGAAACCCACAACCAGATATCATCTGGGTTCGTTCTGATGGAAATACTGCTGTAGGAGACGTTCCTGGATTAAGACAGGTATTGTGTCAAGTTTTAATTCCTTTTCGCATTTAAAATGTCACAATTAAATAAGTATTGAAACCGATCGAGAGAAATTCATGATTTTTTAGAGGTTTTATCAAACTATTTTTAAAAAAATGCGCGCGCATATAGCATCTGTTTTTCTATTCTATTAGTGTTAGCAAAATGAATATTCTTAATTAAAAAACGTAGGAGAAGTCGCCTGTATTGCACCCCTTAACATTTAAACAATATTGTTACAAAAGTACTGAAAGGATCAAAATTTGTTTAAAATAAGATTTAAAAAAAGTAGCTTTTAATATGATTTGGAGACCGCGTCATTAAATTGTACCATTGGATTCCTAAACCGTATTTCTAATAAACAATCATTAGTTTTTACAAAAAAGGATCTAAATTTTTTTAAAATTTAACAAATAATATCTATGAATAATTTTTAGTAAGTTATCTTAAAAAGACTCAAACATACTTTTTTTTTACAAACATACTTTTTTTTTTACAAACATACTTTTTTTTTACAAACATACTTTTTTTATACCAATATCAAAATATAGTAATTACAAAAATATTATTCAATGACTCAATCTTAACATGTTGTTTTATCTTAAATATAGGTATAATATAAACACTAGAGAGTGACAAATTATTTAATTACTCAATTTTAGTACGTTTTTTATCTTAAATGTAGGTACAATATAAAGACCAGCAACAAGTACGATTTACAACTTTCTCTACACGGAGAGAATTTTTTTTTTAATTTACCCTGAAAATATGGTAGTTGTGATACAATACAATATTTTAAATATTTTTTTACATGCACTTCAGTAAAATTAATCAAACTTATTTTATATTTTATTATAGTTTTATTGATGAATATGAGAGAAATTTACTTTTCGAAATGTCCCAGGATTGCCATATTTTCAGAATAAATTCTAAGACAAAAATTCTCTCCGTGTATTTTTATAAATTTGCTAATAACAATATAACTTACAAATATTTTGTTAATTTGCTATTCTTGAAAAGAGTTTACATATCAATTGTAACCCTGTAGTACACCATAATTCAATTACTCATCTTGCACCTGGTAACATCTCTCTTAGTAAATTATATTTAGATCAGACACTGAACAAAATTAATTTTAAATACCACTTGTAAACGGATGGCTCGAAGGCAAAACAAAAATGAAAGTAGTAACATCTGTGTCGACACTTTTAAGAAAAAATGTTTCGTTTAGAAAATACAATGGTGGTACGATTTAATCGTCGGTATAACTTAGTCAACTCCCCACCCTATAAAATTGAACAAAAGTTTTTTCTTTCACGTGTAGGACGATGAATTATTCGTCTAAATAGCTGCCGATTACTAGCTGTTCCAGTATCAAATATCTATCTGCAATATGTGAATGAAATTATTAAACGCCCATGCCATCCCACATTCATTCACGTGATCGTGAAGGACGCTTTAATTATTTCCAAGCTTGCTGCGTGTGTTATATTGTGTATTAATTTAGTTTCTACATTCTATAGTTATTGGTCTTTCGTAGGTTATGCCGAACGGAAATTTGGTGTTCCCTCCTTTCCGTGCTGAAGATTATCGTCAGGAAGTTCACGCTCAGATCTACACCTGTTTAGCACGTTCCCCTGCAGGTTCGGTACACAGTCGTGATGTCAACGTGAGAGCCGGTAAGTGTCAATCTTTACATTTATCCATTAGTCATTTATTATTTAGCCATCTATAGTATCTTATATAGGATGTTCAAAAAATAAAGAGCGCCTTCAAATTTAAATTTAAGTAAATTCGAATTTGAGATCGATTTCTGATAGAAATTCAGCTTTCTTTGCATTTAATATCAAAATAAATTTATGTATTAGTTATTAAAATACAATTAAAATTGTAAAGAAGAAAGGAAATAATTTGAATTTTTAACATTTATTTCAGTTTGACAAAAAAATATTCAAATTATAGGTCAATAATTGCAGGAATATTCTGTATAACAAAATAAAAATTATTTTTAAGTTAAAATTCTTATTAGACAATTTATTGTAACATTTTAATATAATCTTAAGTGTCTTCTTACTTAAAAATTTTGAATTAATTTTGCGAATAAGTAATACATTTAAAATTAAAATTATATTTTTAGATAGAATTTTTGTAATAAGATGGCTAAATGTTGGAAAATATAAAAATTATTTTTTTCAGCAAAAAAGCACGCTTTTTCGTGCTTACTATTTCTTCTACATTATATTTGAGGTCCTTTGAAAAAACTCCAATTCGTAAGAGATCGGTGTCAATCAGATGATATCAGTAATTCGATGCTAGATATTGCCCTTTAAATACATTACAATCTGCCGCCGCCGTTTATGCGAAAAATACATTCGATTCCTCCAGTCTCAATCTGTTTGCAAGTAATTAGGAAATTGCTCTTTGCATGATCGATGTAATCCAATTTTAAGTGATGTCATCGCACTGTTCGTGCGAAACTAAGAACGCTTCTGAATCACATATAGTGATGTCATTAAATCTGACGTCACTGTGCTTTATCGACCGCAATACAGTTTCCAGTTGCATTCTTATCTTTTACCGGTTAAATATAATTCATTTTTTACAGATTTCTAAAAAGAATTTTCTAGATAAACAAAGTAATAATAAGTAACGATAATTATTAAAAAATATCAATATTATTAATTGTTAAAAATATTACATATAATTTCAAATATAGTGACAAATATTTTATAAATATTAGTATATTAATAATAGAAATTCAATTTTTAAGAAAAAAGTATATATATTATATTTTAAATATATATTTACATAAAAATATTTATATTTTCTTGGAGCTGTTGAGGCTGGAGCAAAATAATTCCCGACGTACTATGAATGTCATTTATATACGAAATTATAGTGGTGGCGCAGTATTACGACACCGACGTCAATAAAGAATACGCGATCCGTGGGAACAGTGCCATTTTGAAATGTGTCGTTCCTTCTTTCGTCGCCGATTTCGTCAAAGTCCTATCCTGGCATACGGATCAGGGAGAGGAATTCGTGCCTGGCGATGATTTTGGTATAAACAGAATTAGGATTTATGATTAGTGTATTAACCGATCTCCTTAACTCTTTGCGAGCAGAAAATTTTGTCGCATCTTTGATCCGTATCAATATAAAATTAAAAATTGTGGATTTTCTAATTATTTAAAAGAAATCTAAAGTTTTGTAAAAACCAAATTCACATTTGACCTAGCCATTCATAAATGCATTTTAAAAAAAGATAAAAGATGAATTTTCCAATTCAGTTATGCCCCCTCACATAGGGACAATTAAGAGATAATGTCATTATTGTCCGGTCCATATATTCCAGTTCGAGGACACAAATGCGTCGTGCCGTTCGGCTGAGTGACTGACACCATCCGTGCGACTCGGTCGCTTCTCGTATATTGATCTCAATTGCTACGGTAGCAAAATGCAAATCAATTTGGGACGTTGCAACGCGAAAGTATATGGGTCGTTCACTTTCCACGGCTAGCACATGTGTATATACATATATATATATATGTATACATACATACATATATATATTTATATACATGCATCGTCACATTCATCTCGTTAACGTTATATCCAATACGATATATCTAATGTGTTAACTGAAACGATCGGATATTTGACCATTGTCAGCTATCTCTCTCATTTTTCTATTAAACCCAGAGTATTCACTTCTGACGCGCCGTCTATGTATTTTAAATCCGTCAGTTCGTTTATTAATATTTATTTTTAGTCTGTTCCCTTTTTCCTGTTCTAAAAATTAATAATAACAACGCTAATTGATCGTAATAACAATAGAAATAATAACGAGAATTTTTATAATATTTTAAATTAATTTTTGTCTATAACATTAATGTCTCATTATTGCATTACTTATCTAATATTTCATAAAAACACAAAAGCAGTCAGTACGTTAATTACGTAATAATTGTCCTCGTAATTACAATTAAATGTAATTTCATAAGAGCGACAGAAATTTTTATAGTTTTGTTTAAACCTTTTTTTAGAATGTTGTATCGCGACGTATTCAATATATATACATATGCATATATGTATGCATGTAAAATCAATCGATCGTATACTATCATTATAGACTGGCGACATAAGATACGACAATAATTCTGCTCGCGGAGTAATGGCGAAATATATCGCCCAAAGCTGCTGTCAACGTCGTCGACATTTCATTCGGTTTTCCAAAATTAATTTATATTTGAAAAAAAAACTTTTATGAATTCTTCTATGAATGTATATCTCGTACTGCGTGTAAAGATAATATGTCAAAGAGTCAAGCAACTTGAAGCGATTACAAAATACGATATTCTGTTAAATGTATTTCCAATGGTGAAAATAAAACCGACACGAGTGGACGTCATCGTTATACTCAGTAGACAAATCGGGGTTGCATAGATTATTTTGATCATTTATTGCAGTGGTACATCAGTATTATCAGTCCGAGGTCAACAATGAATATGTAATACGCGGCAACGCAGCCATTCTCAAGTGCAGTATACCGAGCTTCGTTGCAGAATTCGTTCAGGTTATTGGTTGGCAGGACGATCAGGGGAATTCTTTTGATCCGGATCAGGATAATGGTATAGTCTGAAACTTTTAAGAAATTCGGGAAGTCGGAACCCGCGTGGGCAGCGAATGATGAACTGGTCAACGTCGTCGATGCCGCGTTCGAGAAACGCGATATAATTTTTTTCATGATCATATATCATGTATCGCAAAACTCACTGATATTTCATTCAAATTAATTGAAGAATAACTAATCTAAAAATATAACTTTTTCAAACGTATATCGAACTTGCTAATTTGTATTTAAAATAATGATTAGGACACGAGTGCAGAAACGTTTGATTTTATTATATTTAAGATTGCGTAATTGATGCAATTTCTCGAGTAAATCGAATCCGCACAAAGCTCTCTCTCCTCTCTCTCTTCTACCTACTATCTAAGAACCAGTTTCCGTAATTACATAGTGGAGCATAGAATCAAATTGCATAATGCTAGCTGCTGAAGTGCAACTCTAATGTTGTAATCTCTTTGATCGTAATCACTTAATTTTCTCCAAAGAAATGTGTTTCGTTTCCAAGGAATAATTAGGTAAACATGCGTAACAAAGCATTGTTTACAGCGATGTGTACGTCATGATAATTAAAGAAATGTTATGCAGCGTTCTGAACCGAGAAAAATGTTTCTCCTCGATTAGGCACGCAATGTAACGCGATGTTGGAAAGCACGCGATGTTTGATGTATAGCCACACAATGCGCTATTATAATACGCCATTACCTTTTGCAGTCGTGACTCAGTATTATGAGGCGGAAGTTGTATCGGAATACGTGATACGCGGAAATGCGGCTATTTTAAAATGCACTATACCGAGCTTTGTCGCCGAATTTGTGTCGGTCGAATCGTGGGTGGGAAGCGATGGTTCGACCTTCAGACCGTCTACTGACTACGGTATGATACACGTACATACGTGTTTTTATTCCAGCGCACTTTTCTCTTATTATTCCTTCTAGAGCAGAATCCTGAGGGGGATGATACGCTGGAAAGATATTTATTTCCTCCTATTTCTATGTCTCCTTCATTCATCTAACTGAAGAAAATTGATACCACTTATAACGAATCTTCTTGAGGCTTCTACGGGTGCTTTCTGCATGAAGGTTATCCGTTTCGCGGGTTTTCTCCGTGTCCAAATCCATTCTTGGAATGCCAACGTTTCGTGAACCTTGCAGTCCACTTCATCAGGGCGAGGAGCAGCCTGATACTGGGCTGTTCCTCTAGACCGTTCCTTTTTATATCACTTTAAATTATTCTTAAAAAAGGAACGGTCTAGAGGAACAGCCCAGTATCAGGCTGCTCCTCGCCCTGATGAAGTGGACTGCAAGGTTCCCCGCAAAACCCGCGAAACGGATAACCTTCATACTTATAACGAATATTTATTTAGTTTGAAATTTTCTTTACTGAGATAAGATTATTTTTCTAGATCTAAAAATATAATCTAATCTATGCGAAGAGAACTTCTAATAGTTGCAAAATAAATATTCCGCTGAATGCAACTATTGCTAAAGCTGATATGTATATGAAGTGGAGAACTTATGCGATTGTTAAATTGTTGAAGAAGAGAAAGAAGAAATGATTTTAAGAAATTTTTATTATGATCACGATGTATAATCTTCTTCGATAAAAAGAAATATTTATTACGATATAGATTTTGTTGATGTTTTTATCAAATTTTTACAGGTTTTTATAAAAATGCATTTATGCGAGACTGAATAAATTATTTTAATCGACGCGCAATCATATTTTTGAGATAAAAATTTATTTATAATACATATATGTATATGTATTAGGCTAATATATAATATTTGAGCGTAATTGGTGCTTATTTAGTTAATAAATTATTCTATTTACTTTTTGAAGCAATTATCATCATACCTGTAATATATTCTGAATATTTATTCTAATTATATATATATTATTTGTATATACATATATCTATCATATTAGATCATTTTGGTGTCTTGATTAACTTAATTATAATAAGTGCAAGCGGTGTACAATTTGTATGATGATCGCTGATGAGCACGTCGGCCAATATATACGACGAGTACGCAGAGCGAGGAAATTCTCTTTCCGGTTGTATCACCCCTGTCTCTCCCTGCTACTCAGACACCCTGTCCCCTCGCCCAACTTTGTCAAAGTTCAAAGTGGCACGTGGTAACGATTCGTTTCCGCCGGCCACGCGGTCTGATCTGACAGCAGCTGAACGGCGGCGGCAGCACATACATATATACGTGAGAGTTAATGAACCATCCGGTGGCTCTCACGCCGCGAATTACGATAGGTCTAAGAAAATAAGCCGACACCGTGTCTACGAACGCGAGCGTAGCTAAGTTCGAGAAGTTCCGTAAGGAAAGTTCTTGAATTTTCGTTTCAGCATGTAATGTCAGAGTCCAGTAAGAGTAAGCATATTTTGACAATATAAGATAATGTGCGAGAGTGCGAGAGGATAAAAGCGACACTTTCTTGGAACTTGATTTGCGACTGCGTTACATATGGCTTGTTTCGCACTATTTTCGATATACAAAAATATTCATGGAGCATCGTGGTACAGAAAGTATCAAATTATAGTTTCAATTGCTTTTTATTTTAATAAAAATATTGTTCTTTATTCTTGATTTATTTTTCTAAAAAGCTTGAACTTTCTTGTTTATAAACGTCTAATTTCTTTTTTGCAATTTACTTGCGAAAAATTTTTCATCTACAGATAATATGAAAGATTAAAAGCAATGAACATATTCCGTTCCATATATAATGGGGGCTATTTTTAAACACAACGACCTTCCTTATTGATTAAATTGAATATTATTTTAATATGTATCCCCCACTATATAGTCGTTACTCAGCCTTACAATCCGGAGATCTTGACCGAATACGTTATAAGGGGAAACAGCGCGATATTAAAATGCAGCATTCCCAGTTACATCGCAGAATTTGTTACTGTCGAGGCATGGATTCGCGAAGATGGCGAAGTCTATCTACCGACGGATCTTATGGTCGCACAGGGTACAATACAAATCTCATTGGGCGGTTCTTAATTATTTTAAGCATCCCACTGAAAATTTGTATATGGATTAGAATGTTTATTGTTTATTCTAATAGAAAAGTGTACCTATAAAATAAGTAACTCAAGAATTTAGTAGGACTCTGGAATTTGCAGTGACTTAACTTGTTTTTTGATTAAAAAATAATGTATAAATTAAAAATATTGATATACTTTTTTAGATTCCTAATAAAATCAGCTAGCCATTACAATTGTATTGAATTTTACTTGAATTTTTTACTTTGCAACCTAATTCTATATATACATATACAATTCGCTGTGGAAAATATTTGTCGCTTATTTATGTTTACTAACATTGTTAACCAACGTAATGCATTAGTATTTTTTTTCTCTTACGAGCCTGTTACTCAAGACGTATTTTATTTTCCGTCGATCCGCCTATTTAACT